AATCCTTGGACCCTAGTCTCACCCTTCTCAGAGACTTTACTCTTTCAATAGAGTAGAAACTTTAATTCTTTCCTTCCGGACATATTGGCTTCTTTCCATTAGCAATTAAAAATACTCAAGTCTTTCCTTCTAAAAAATACACCACACAGCTGTTCGGGGCAGAAATATTAATCATGTTCTGTTAACCATGATCGTTCTGTTCTGAGTAAGCACATTCTAACCTGGCTGAGAGTTGTATGCCCCAGGACATGGTAGTTAACTTTGGAATTCAGACTAATACCATGGGAAGATTAACAGCCATGTTCCCGAAACAAGGGAATCCCAGAGGTGCCTTCCCTTTGTGACCCCAGCCCACATTGCCTGTAACCTGTTAGCATTATACCTTGCCTACTTCCCCATGCCTATAATTCCTACTTTCCCATGTAATCTCTGTCTTTCTACCCAATATAAGCAACTGGCTTAGGGGGGTGGTAGAACAGATTTTATGTGGAAGGATCCTGCTGCTCTCCCATACTGCCAGCATTATTGGAATAAACACTTATACATGATTTAACCCTGTTTCTGCTTAATTGGCTCAAGTGGTGACAGGCAGCCCAGACTCATGGTTTTACATCCTCCCTCACCAAATTAAAAAAAACCTCTATTTACCTCTAGCAACCACTCTATGAGTTTTCCCTTCTTGGGCACTCAACAAGATGGTAAGGGGAGCTTCTCTGAGAGGTGACATTTTAGCTGATTCCTGAATGACCCTAAACAGCCAATCACATGTAGATGTGGGGAAAGAGGATTCCCAAAAGAAAGAGCAGTAAAGTTGGCCCCCAGGTTTTTCTCTCATTCTACATAGTCTCCCTGAGCACCACACATGTATCCTTACCTACCACTTACTATATACACGCAGATAACCCCTAAACTTAAATCTCCATTCTAGCTATATCTTTGGAGAGCTGGAGACCCAATTTCTAAGATGCTTATTCAATGATTCCATTGGACATCGCACAAGTGTTATACATTCAGCAGTGCAACCCAAAGTGAAACCATCTCTCATCCAAGCCATGCTCCTCCTTCTGTATTATTCTAAGTAAACTATGTTTACACTATAAACCATCCAGCTACGAAAGCTAGAAATTAAGTTATCTTGCGTTCCTTCATTCACTTCTTACCATCCAATATATGAGTAATTCTGCTGATGTAATTTCCAAAAGATACTTCAAATTTATCCACTTCTTCCATCTTGGTAGCCCCTATTTGTCAGTCTGACATCATCATCTTCAAGAGGATTACAGAAACCTCAGATTGGTATCTCTGTTACAGTCTTGAGGCCCTGAAATCTGTTAGCCACATTTCAGGCTATGTCTAAACCTCTTCAGTTACACCTCAGCAGCTTTACCACAGTTTAGAAACCATTTCCTGGCATGACCCTTTCCTTCAGGGATAATCCTTGCCTCTATGTGGCTAGCTTAAAACATACAATTAAATAACTGTTGGCTGACTAAAAATAGCTCTCCAGCAACACGTCTTGTTGTCTTTTGCCCCCATACTTTTATACTACACTATTCCCTTGGCTCAGAATTTTATTCCTCTCTCTCTTTCTATTTTATTTCACATAGCTATGTCCTAATCATCTCTCAGTTCTCAACCAAGATGGCATTAATGTTTAGGAACCTCCTTTTCTTGTAGACTATTTTTAAGCAGTTTTAAGTTCATAGTAAACTTGAGCAGAAGATACAGAGATTTCTCAGATACCCCCTCAGTCCACAACTCTTCCCCCACCATCCGCCATTTGTTACAAATGATAAGCTTACATTAATACAGCATTATCACCCAAAATCCATGGTTTACATTAGGGTTCATTTTTGGTATTGTATATTCTATGGGTTTAGACAAATGTATAATGGCATGTATCCACTATTACAGTAACATATAGAGTAGGTTCACTGTCTCCCTCCAACCCCTAGTGGTCATTGATCTTTCTATTGTCTCTATAGTTTTGCCTTTTCCAGAATGTCATATAGTTCAAATCATACTGTATGTAGCGTTTTCAGATTAGTAATCGGCTTCTTTCATTTAGTAAGGTGCAATTAAGTTTCTTCTATGTCTTTTCATGGCTAGAAAGCTCATTTTTTAGCACTAAATAATAAAGATTCCATTTTCTGGATGTATCACATAAATGAATGAGTGTTTATTTATCCATTAATTACTGAAGTACATCTTTGTTGTGGCATCCAAGTTTTGGCAATTATGAACAAACTGGTTATAAACATCTGCATGAAGGTTTTTATTGGACATAAGTTTTCAGCTTCTTTGGGTAGACAGAGTGTGGCTATTAGTCTGTATAGTAAGAGTATATTTACTTTTGTAAGGAACTGCCAACCTGTCTTTCAAAGTGGCTGTACTATTTTGTATTCCCACCAGCAACAAATGAGAGTACAGTTGTTCCACATTTTTATCAGCATTTGGTATTGTCAAGTGTTCTGGATTTTGGACATTCTAATAAGTGTGTAGTGGTATCGCATTGTTGTTTTAATTAGCATTCCCTTGATGACATGTGGTGCATCTTCTCATATGTTTGTTTTCAGTCTGTGTATCATTTTTGGTTAGGTATCTATTCAAGTCTTTGGCCCATTTTTTAAAGCAGGTTGTTTGTATTCTTATTGTTGAGTTTTAAGACATCATTGTATATTTTAGATAACAGTCCTTTATCAGATATGTCTTGTGCAAATATTTTCTCACAACCTGCAGTTTGTCTTCTCTTTCTCTTGACATGCTTCTTCATAAAGCAGAAGTTTTCAATTTTAATGAAGTCCAGTTTGTCTTTTTTTTCTTTCATGGATCATGGTATTGTACCTAAAAAGTCATCACCATACCCCAAGTCATGGAGGTTTTCTCCTATGTTATCTTCCAGTAGTTTTATAGTTTTGCATTTCACATTAATGTCTGTGATCCACTGTGAGTTAATTTTTGCGCTGGTATAATAAAGTCTGTATCTAGATGTATTTTTCACATGTGGATATCCAGTTGTTATAGCACCATTTGTTGAAAATACTGTTATTGTTACACTGTACTGGCTTTGCTTGGATATACTTTTTGAAAACCCTGATAACCCCACCATTTGGAGAATGCATCCCTCCAGACTAGGTTAAGTGCCCTGCCTTAGGCTTACATTAATACCTATACCACCTCAATCATAGCACCCTTGTATTATTTTATGTGCCAGCCTAATGTTTGTCTCATTCACTTCTGTATTCCCAGCTCCTAAAATAGTGATTGAGATGTAGGAGGTGCTGAATAGACATTTGCTGTATTAATGTATACATGATTTGTTCTTGATATTTATAGCTAATCATGTTTCAATTATTATTGCTAAATTATCTTTATTGGAGGAAAAATTTGTATAAAAAATAGAAACACAATACTAGAATGGCACAAAGAATATTATGGTGAGCATTGTGGAGGTTTACATGGATTTAAATTTAAACAAAATTATAGCAACTTTCTATAATTCCAACTTTTTTCTAAAACAAAACAAAGTAAACCCCAAACTCTACCACTAAGCAATAAAACAGTATTAAAAGTTAAAAACATCTAATATTAGCAAATTCTCCATACTACTTTTTGCCCAGGACAATATTATAATCTTAAGAGTTAAAGGTTCAATTTTGTTAACTCTTAAAAATTACTGATGACAAAATAATTTTTGTTTTTTTACTTCACAGTTGAAAGAAATTAGCAAAATTAGCATGTATGTGAATTGAGAGATTTCTATAACTGATATGACAATGAGTAAGTAGACTGGGAAATTGTTTTTTTTTTATTTTTCATCATCTGAAGATTGATAGTAATTATTATCAATTCTTACAATAATAAAGTTTTATAAGAAGTACAGAGTATTATTATGTAAACTTATTTATATTATTTAAAAAACTAATATTTTGCTGCATCTTTTGCTTTGCGGTGAATCCAAAATTTATTTTTAAAGTTATATAATTATGACTAGAAATAATTCAAGCATGGAATATCTAAAAGATAAATATACATTAATATTCATTGTTGTAACAACAGAGGCTATTTCTCAGGTTCTAATGCATTGATGATGAAAAAATGATAATACTAAACTTATTTAAGTTACTTTAAAAAATAGATTTCTGTACCATATATAAAGTAATTTTCAAGGAATGTGTTATAAAATATTCTTTCAATATACTTACCCCTTGACAAAAGTTTTATATACAGTAAGCATTATTTCTTTATCAATTTAATTAAATTTGGTATGAAATAAAAAATAAATAGATTATGCCAAATATCCAGTCATTATTTTCCAAAGAATACACTATATCATAAAAGAAACTCAAGTTGCAAAGGATGCAGGTCTTTGGCTGATAGAAGCTGTACATGTCAAAATGATGACAGTTACATCTGTCTTACTGTATCCACTGCCAATAAAGTACTGGGGAAATCATAGTGAACAACTGTTTATAATAAAGAGAAAATACAATAGTAGGCTCAAACATAATTTTACTTATAGCATCATTTTAACAATGGTATATATAAATTCCTAACCAGACTGTTATACTTCCTATATTTAACATCCTTCACATTTTCAGCTGGGTACCAGATAGCATAGCATGTTCAGATAAAACTATTTCTCATGAGCTGAGATAGGCAGAGGGAGTCCACATGGAGCATAACACTGAAACCAGATGGAATGGCAGATGGAACTGCAGACTGGGTTCACTTAATGTAAAGCAACTTTACTACTCAGTAAGATGTGGCTCCAATCTCACAGAAAACTTTCTAAAGTACTTTCCCAGTACTTCATACATGTTTTTGCCTAAATAAATACTTTTAACAGTTTAAATTTTGTTCCTTTAAAGTTTCTCTGATAAATTATTTAATTAAAACATTTTCTTACACATTTTTGGACCAGATGGTAGGAAAAAACAGCTCCCCAGTGGAATAAAATGTACACTGATGAGTTGCCTAAAAATTGTGAAATTAATTACCTTCCTTCATTGATGAGTTCAATAAATGCAAGTCCTGCATTCTTCTGAATAGAATTTTGCCATTCCTAGAAGGAGAAACCAAACCAAGTGTCAGAAAAATGAGCATGTAAATGAAAGTAACATCTTGTTTAAGGATACCTTTGATGCTGTTAATAACTTCCATGTGATGATATTTCTAAATATTAAAAAAAAAAGTTACTGTGTTATTCAGTTTAGAAGGTGCAACTGAATTCCTAGGTTTGATGCCGACTGAGATAGAAAGTAAGATCATAGGTATAGATGACAAATTCTCAGTACAAAGTGTCCTTCCTTCCAAAAGAGATCAAATGCCTAGTGATGCAGCTATGCAAGCACAATAAATATTTGGAATATAAATTATAGTCCTTGATATAGAAAATTTTCACTAAGACTATAAGATGAAAATTACAAATACAAATAACATAATTACATTGATTTGGAAATGAAATGTTCTAGTTATATGGGTAGTCCAAAAGACTAAAAAGTATATAAGAACTGTAGTTTGATAGTAAATAAATTCTTTTGAAACTTATAAAAAAGAAAATATTTAATATTAAAACTATATCCAAATGTTATAGTCTTCCTATGACATATTTAGAATATGCTTTAAACAATTTTTTTGGTTATTGGTTTATCCCAGTAATTTCAATTGTTGGGCTTTTTTAAAAATATAGCTGGTAAATTGAAATTTTTGGATTAAAATTATGTCTTTTTCAATAGTATGATAAATACTTCCCTAATACATTTTTATATAAAAAATTCTTATTGATTATTTATGTCACTCATCTATAGATTTTTTTCTCCATGAGTTAACAATTAATGTGCTGGCCACACAAAAGTGGTCAGCTCCTTGCCCATGAATTCAGCTCCACAAAAAGAACAGTCTCTATGTCAACGCTTTACTCTATTCCTGATCACATGCCCTTTTAAAGCTTTATACACATGCTGTGAATAAATGTGGTTCCCAAAAGTAGGTATTTGGTATGTAAGTATTCTCTGCTCTAAGTAAATTTATGAAGAATTATAGAAGAACAAATCATGAATCCACATTTCCACAGGCGAGTAAGTCATCAACTTAAGGAGAGTGATGTGGTAGCCTGGGGTCAGTAATGATTTTATAAAGGCCTACATGTCATCATTTTTAGCAAAGTCATTGTGTTTTAGCTACTGCAACATTTAACTAAAGTTTATCAAAATGGTAAGACTGTTATTGTATTTTACAGAGCTTATTAAATCTTTCAAATCATTTGTTGAAAAAATGATAGGAAACTTTTTTCCTACATTTTAACAAAATGACACTACCATTTTCTCAAATATTTTGCATATTACCATTATATATCCTATATTTACTGCAAACAAATATCCCACAATGTGCCAATTTATCAGGGATACTTGACATTTATTGTTATATTATCTTAAAGAAAGAACTGATTCTTACATAACAAGAACCATGTCACTCTGAAGAATAGATTCTTGCAGACAATTTCTTAAACACGATTTTCTTTATGATGCTGCTTGTACATCAATGGTCTTTATTAGTATAAACTTATAATATGAACAAGATTTTTAAAGAAGATATTTTACAATGTACATTCAGGTATTATACATATATCCCAAATTATGCTGTACCTAAAAGATCAGAGTTGAAAAACTCTCTTCAAATCAAACAAAACATATCTGTAAGGTGCCTTCAGCCCATTAGATACTTATTTTTAATATTTTATAGAAGAACAGTAGAAATAAATCTGAACTAAGCTAAAGATATTAGAGCTTATAGGGTGGGAGAGCCAATGAAAGTGTATGAACTGCAACACTTCATCCAAGAAATCAGTGTTTTAGAAGAGTAATTTGTCATTTCTGAACAAGGGGAAATAGCAGGAAATTCTTTCATTGGTCCCTCCAGAAGAGAGACAACAGGGACCTAGACTCCAACTGTGAACAGGGAAATGAAAACTAAGAGATATTATAAAGAAGATAGGCCAGGACTGAATGAGAAATTAGATTTAAATGCTAAAGTAGAAGAGTGAGTCAACTAAGGTTATTACGTTTTTAACATGGATGACAGAGAATGGTAATATTATTATGAAACTACTAAGATGGGTACATATTTGGGAAAATCATAAGGTAGTCTTTAGTTTATATTTGTTGGATTTAGAATGATGATGGCATATCAAAAAGGAATGTTGCTCTGGCTGGTTTGGGTCAGTGGCTAGTGTTGGCCTGTGGAATGAAGGGTCTGAGGTTCGATTCTGGCCAAGGGCATGTACCTCGGTTGCAGGCTCTACTCCCTGGCCTGGGTTGGGGAGTGTGAAGGAGGCAATCAATTGATATGTCTCTCTCACATTGACGTTTTTCTCTCTCTATCTCTACCTCTCTGTCTCCCTCCCTCCCTTTCACCCTCTCTGAAAAGCAAAAGAAAAAAAAATATCCTCTGGTAAGGATTTAAAAAAAAGTAATACTGAATTTGGAATTACTCAGATAGAAATATTGACTAAGACACAGCATTAGGCAAGTCTCCAAAGAAGAATAAACAGAAAGAGGATCAAAAGACCCAGGCTGATTCTTGGGAGCCATTCACATTTTTAAGATTAGAAAAAGAAGCAGTTGAAAGGGACAAGAAAAGATCTACTAGAATTTAAGAAGAAAAGGGAAATACTATAATATTATTCAAAAAGAAATAATCTACTCTATACATTGGCTCAGAAAAAAAAGATACAATACCCTTTAATCACTAATATCATTTTCTTTTACTAATGATTTAAAAGTTAAATTTTTGTGTATGTAAATTGTAACATTCAAATATAGTAAACCATAAAGAATAATAAACATGAAAACAAAACTACAAAAACAAAAAAAAATATGTCATTCTAAGGAAGGGAAGAAAATTCTCTGGTGTTTGAGCTGGTGCTAGCTTAGGCTGTAGAGCTTTACAAGACCTAGTTCCTGTGCTGGCTCTAGCTCTAGAGCAGACTCTATTTTTAGTGCTGGTGCTGGATATGGTGTTGGAGTTGGCACTAGGTGTGCAGCTGCCCAAGCTCTCTCTCAGAAGCTGGTGCCAAAGCTGGCTCCAGCTGGGAGGAGTAGTGTTAGAAGTTGTTGAATTGGCTCTAGTTCTGGGGCTCACTATAACTTTGGCACTGGTGCCATCTGGTGTGAGGATTGGTGATAGAGATGACTCTAGATCTGGAGCTGGAGTTGGTACTAAGTTTGGAGCTGATACAATAGCTTATACTGGAGTTGGCTGTAGCTCTATAGCTGGCCTTAGCTCTATCTCTGGAGCTAGTGCAGAAGCTGGCTCTAGCTGCAAAGTTCATTCTAAGACTGGTTCTGGAATTGTCCCTAGCTCTAAAGCTGCTACTGGAACTGGTGCTAGCTAATGATGGAACTGCCTCTATCTGTGGAGTTGGCTCTAGTACTATAGCTGGTTCTGAAACTGTCTCTAGTTCTAGAACTGGCACTGTCTTTAGATCTCAAGCCAGAGCAGGTCCCAGAGTTGTATGAAGCTCTAGAACCTGTGTGAGAGCTGGCTGTCCCTAGCTGTACAAGTGCTAGAGTTGGTGCTAGAGCTGGCATATGAACTGGTATATAAGCTACGAATACCACTTTTGAAGTCATTACCTAGAGTCCTTCTGGCAACCTGATATGCAAGACAGAGACCAAGACGAGTGGAGGAGGGATACCAGGAATAACAACAACAACAACAAAAAAGGAAACCTGAAAAATGAGAGACAGTGAAGAAACAGAAAAAAATAACACTAATTATACAGTTGATATGTGAAGATACTGCAACATAAAAAACAAAACCGAAGGCTTAAAAAAACAAGTTAAAAACAACTAACAGAAAATAGAAAAGATAGTAAGATGCAATCAAAACATTAAGAGATGCAAGAAGCACAAAAGAGATAAAGAAATAAGAAAATTAGAGGTTCTTCTGTGGAAAGGCCAATATCCACTGAGTAGGAATTGTAGGAAGAGTGGATAGGGAACATGGATGAGAGGAAATTATCAAATAAATATAAAAATTTTCCCAAGAATTAAACATATGACACAAAATCTTCAGCAAGGCAAATCATCATAAAATTTTAGGACACCAGGGTTAAGGAAAAGGCTAACAGGGAAAAAAAAGTTTAAATAAAGAATCAAGAATTAGCACAGCTGGGAGTGGCTCAGCGGTTGAGTGTTGACCTAAGATCCAGGCGATCGGGGTTCGAATCCCGGTCAGGGCACAGGCCTGGGTTACAGGCTCAATCCCCAGTTGGGGGGGGGGCAGGAGGCAGCCGATCAAGGACTCTCTCATCATTGATGTTTCCATTTATCTCTCCCTCTCCTTTCCTCTCTCTGAAATCAATAAAGATATATATATATATATTTATGTATACTTATATATACAAAGAAGAATTAGAATGACACTAGACTTCTCAACACCAAAACAGGAAGATAGGAGGTAAGAAAATAGTATCTTCAGAATAATTAGAAACATAATACTCAAACACAATATCCAGTCAAACTATCAATAAATATGAAGATAAATAAATATATTTTCGGACATGCATAAACATTTATTTTTCAACCACTTCTTTCAAGAACTTACTGATAGTGTGCTCTGCCAAAATGAGACACTATATCAAAAAGGAGAGACAAGATTATACTGTGACAGTGCCCAAATCTCAGGGGCTTAGGAAACAAGGGTTATTTCTTCCTCAAGTTCAATGCCCACTGCCTGTGTTCTGCTCTGCATCTTAGTCACCCTCACTCAGGGAGCCAACTGGCAATGTGGCCATTGTCTGGAATGTTATCAGCAATCAAGGTGGAGGGAAAAGAGCATGGGTTTAAACATCACTGGCTCTTGTAGCTTCTGCTTAGAAGTAACACATGTCACTTAGCACATTTCACCAATCAAAGAAAGTAACATAACCAAGCCTCAGTTTCCTGGAGCAAGGGAGTGCAAACCCACCAAGTGCTCAAGAGGTGGGAAAGTACCAAATGCATATGAACTCAAAACATTACTACAAGGGAAAAAGTGGTAGACACAGACCTAAGAAACTAG